AATTTCCACCATTCTGAATTCAGCCAAAGGGCCAAACATGCTTCAGTATTCTGTACACCACACTGTGGAAAACAGCATTAATTATTAACACACAATGTCTCTGTAATAACCAGGGGAAAAGGCTAATTAAGGCAAATGTTAAAGCTTAACATTAGCAAATTATAACTGCATTACAATTACTGTTAACATAAAAATTCGGCAGTGAGAAAGTGGGTAACGATGAATAATTTACAGATTTTATATTATTAAATTTATCCAAAAGAGTGCAACGGAATGGCAGTTTAATTTGAAACTACAAAGCTAATAAAGCTGGAAAGTGGTGCATGTTTTTTTTTTTTGCCAAGGTGACCAACAGCAATAAAATAGGCATCCGCTGGTAACGTTATTATTATTATTGCTGCAGCCAAATAATATTTATTCTGGTCGTCTACTGTTATTGTCTACTTGAACAAAGATGGGTTTTGCAGAGACAAATCACAATATGAAAAAGGAGTTAATCAGACTAACACATTACATTTCCTTTGTCATTAATCACCTTAAAACTTTTAAACGTGACCTACATGTACATGAAGTAGCTCGACCGGTCAGCCTTGAAGCTAACATCGGCTAACACGGCTAATGGGGTTGTCATGATGCGATAAACCGATCAGATAGAATCCAAAAACAAGCAATGTAATGTCTTAATCAAAGTTTAACTTGTTCTTGGACAGAAGGCAAGTAAAGATTTCTTTCTTCTGTCTGTGAACTCTCTTATTGCTGTCTGACAGAGCCTGAGGCAAATTCAAAGAGACTCCTTCAAGGTCTGCTAGAAGCTCCTCTTCCACCATATTTAAAATTGCAGCAGAGGAATGAGGAACACTTGGCCTTGACTGACCAACCACAGCTCACCGTAGAATGGACAGAGATGCAAACACAGGGGGTCTGGTGGAGCGTTAACAGTCAATAGAAGCCCATTTCAGGCCCTGACCGTGCGGGTACCTGTATTATACCAGAGCTGGCACTGCTACTATAGCCATGTTTCCATATAACTGTCAGCCGAATTCAAAGTCAACTAAAAGGAAAATGCAAATTAGGCTTGTTTCCATGAACCGCTTTGGAATGAATAAACGAGGCTGTGTATTGTCACTACTGGCTACGTTACACATGGCTGTAATAGACAGAGTAGAAGTCAGAAAAAAAAAACGGTTATTGGCCAACTGCTAGAAATATATGGAGAGGAAGAAACTAAAACTTTGACTATTTACAAGAGAAAAGTTGGAAGGGTTAAATTCATGCTTTCGTATCACCTGGTACCGGATGTTTCATGCTGTTTGGAGACTAAGACAACAAAAGACGTGATCAGTCATGTGACTTAAATGTTTGCATGTATTTGAAAAAGATATTTCCATCGACCTTAACGCACAATAACCCCTTTTAGAAAAGTCCAAAAACAGCTAAAATGAGCATAACAGCTTCTCTACATTTTTTATTTTTTGAAATTAGGACACTACTGTTGACTTTATCTAATGTGACACTGCAAAATAAATAAATAAAACTACGTTATGGAAACACAACCTGTGACAGGCTCTCAGTACGAGTGGCACCAAGTAGCTAACATTAGCGTTTGCTAGCACTAAATCCAACGCACTAGCTATGTCGGCACAGCGCAGAACGTATTACCTTCATAATAAAAGCTGCAATAATGAGCCTTGTTACATGGCGTTTTTACTCCCTGTTTAATTTAGTTTTCAGTCACTGTTTTGTGTCGCTGTCATTTTCACAGCTTTTTTTTTTAAAGAATAGCCACCAAAATACTTAGTTATATTTAGGAGAAGGTCATGGGTTGGGTTCTGTCACTATTTTCTGACATTTTCTGTCACTGTTGGCTTTTGTTTCGTCGCTGTTTTTACTTTTTGCAGCGAAAATACTTGCTGAAGTTTAGTAGAATCCCAGTGTGGGATAAAATACATCCATGCAAATGCTAATCACAAAGCTCTAATTGTTTTATTTTACATTGCTAGTGTGACAAGTCCTGTCTCAAGAATAACCCCTAAAAACGTAACCACTGGACAATTTTACTGACTTTTTTGTGAAAATAATACATTTCGCACTATGGAACAATGTGCTATTATGTTTTTATTTTTCCTGAGACTGGGCTACGCTCTGGAATTAGCACAGCTATCTGCAGATCCATGAGCTCAGTTTGCAGATACAGCAGAAAAATAAATCTCATTCATGCATGACATAGCGATCAGGCCTGCTAATGCTAACGCTACCCCACAATGTAGCTACAGTGAGCGAGTGCTGCTTTTATATAGCTGCTACCAGTCAGCAGACTAAAAACTGCCACTAAAAATACATCCCAGATAAAACTACACATGGACACGGTGATGTAAAGAGACCACTGGTTCAGGCCCACTGAGGAACCACAGACAATACATGTGGATGTTCCCCCAAAAGAATAGAAATACTACTGCCGTCCTTTGTTAGCGCAGATGACCCCCTCCCCTTGAAGTCTGAACAAATCCCCCTCTATAGGCTATAATAATCCATGTTTCAGTGTGTCTACAGGGCTTTTGTGTCTGCTCTATTTAACTCTCCTGCCTGAATCCTGTACTCTTCATCCTTCACTCTCCTGCACTTTTTGCTTTTATCTGAATTGCTTGAGCTCCAGTATCTCCGTCTGTCTCTCATACCTGCACTGTCGAGTTCATATTGAAGGTAAAGCATCATTACACAGCGCTTGTACTACGTCTCTGCAGTGTAAACAAGGTTCCTATACTCCAAAACCTCTACAGAACACTTGCAGCTACTTGAATTGTGTTACAAGGATGGGATCCCAGCAAATACCACAACCAGGTCACAGTGACTGTCTGAGTGCTGGGGGAAAGACCGGGGACATTTTGAGCTCCAGAAAATGAATAAGTGGGGCTAATTAAATGAGAAGAGCGGGTTTTCCCTCTGCCAGGTATCTTAGCAACTGATATCATCAGTCTCACCACAGCTTAGAAGAACTTTATCTGTGATGTTTCACTTGACTGAAATCAATCTGCCTCTAGTCAAACTAATATTTATCTGCAGCTCCTGACAAAGATATGAGGCAAATACTTCACCCATCATCCTAAACACAAGAAGGTGTCAAACAATATTTACCTAAGGGACATTTTTACAAACTTATCACAAAGGACAAAGCCTGTAAAGCAGGTGTATGATTGTTTTTCTGTGGTTCTGAGACTTTATCAGGTCTGAAAATAAACTCTGATCATGTCACAGCCGTGTCATCAGGGTCACGTCAGTCAGAGCTTTCAGAATGAAGTGGTTTCAGAGAAGTCCTGCCGCTGAAATTGAGGCCGTTTTGTTCCAATGTGTTGGTTTTTCATCACTCAGGGGCAGTCTAATGAAAGATGCTATCAGGCTGAATGATGGGAGGTGTTGGCGTTTCAGGAGACTGATCCATAAAGCGTCTGCCAGCTGAGAAATTTTAGGCCTTTCCAACTATCTACCCTAATGTGAGGCTGGTTATTGAATATTTCATTCCTTAAATTTCTTAAAATGAAAAATGTACGTAGTATGAGGTCGTATGTACTTGATAGGTAACAGTCAGCTGTAAAGTATTTCAACTTCTATTATAATCTAGATGTTTTAGATCATATGTGGTTGTCAAACTTTACCTTAGTCTTCATTTTTGATTTAATACAGTGACATATTGTATGTTTTGTTGTAGCTACTCAACAGGGAGTTTATGTTTTTATATGCTTTCAGTGAATTAATGTTGTGTAATTGTTAGATAGCTGAGAACACAAGGTGGACTGCTCATAATACCAGTGTTTGTTACGCAATCAGACCAGCATATTACAATTTTCCACTTCATGCAAAAAATGCTTCCAGTATTTTAACAGCATTTTTACAACTTTTTAGTTCTTCAAAGTACATTATCAAAACCAACTTGCAGAGATTTTAGTTTAATGGTGAAAGTGTAGACCTGTATAGCCAGGTTGCATGTCTTTAAACCAAAACAAGCACAAGATGCAGCAATAATATCCCTGCAACATAGTAGCAGGAGGTTTTTTGGGTTTTTTTGGTGAACCATTTGCATGCAGGGAGACAAGCAATGTCATTAAAATTGCAAATTTACCAAAAGTACCAAGCAGATCTGCCAAACTGCACACTCAAAATCTTTGGCAAAACTCGCCATTTTCAGCGTGTAGGTTGCTGCTCGAGAGGTTGTTGCCGTGGGAAGTGAGGCGATTTCGAAAACAGTAATACGCAGATGGGTCAGTTTGATACCGGAAGTCTACGTTCGGTGAGTCAGACGAGTAAAGGCCTGACGACAGAACTTTATCACTCAGCTGCCACTTTGCATCCAATTTATAAACTGTAAATTTCAACAGGGAATACAAATAATTATCCAACACAGATGTTCAAAGACAGTCGCAGTGAATGGCCTGTGAAAGTTATTTGGCCAGATAAAACTACGAGCTAGAAAACAAATGGTATCAGCAAAAAAGAATGCAGCATGTTTCTGTAACTGAAATGAGTCCCAGGGTTTAAATGGGGGGGATTCATTTTTGCAGATGAAGCACTGAATTTCTGAGTGGCTGTTTAAGCAAAGCATGTTATTTTGAAAATTTAAGCAATTCAGTAAAACATTATAGAAGCTAAAATGTGGCTGCATGCTTTGGGAAGAGCCAAGACGAGCAGTCGTAGGCAGATAGCACTCATTAGGCTTAAACATGAAAAACCACTGGTGTGCTCTTTTAATACTGCAGCAAACTCACACACTTCACCGTTAATTATCTCTTTCAGCCATTTTATCAGTCTGAAACTGGAGATCTGTGTCAGACGACTTAAATTCAAGCCCAGTAATGTCAAAATGTCTGCTCGGCGGATTTTTCTCCATGCCTGCCAGCCAACTCGAGTCTGACCTCCTTCAGACTAAATGAAGGAATCAGAGTCACATTAAGCGAAGCTCTGGATCTTTTTTTTTTACGTCGTTGCAGGAGCTGCCTGTGGCGACTCACCACTCTTGGTGTCCTTTCCGTCCAGTAAGGGTCGGTAGTCGCTCTTGGACACCGTCTCTCCCACCTTGTCGTCGTAGCCCTCTTTCTCCAGCGAGGCCACGAAGTCTCTCTTCAGCAGGGCCTCAGCGGGGGCCCCACCTGGGACCCCACCTCCACCCCCACCCAGAGCATCTCTCAGGCTCAGGTCCATAGTCCTGTTACTGCACAGAGAAGAGAGAGACGGCTGTTGTTAGATTCGTTACTCTTTGCTTGTTGCTATTTTTTTCCTCCCATACGTCACAGTGAAAACCAAACCTATTGTTTGTGTGTGACTGACCACTTCACACTCATCTACAAGCCCGTCAGTCCAGGTGAGCGGTGGTGTGATCACGAGGCTCACACTATTCTGTGACAACTCGCAGCCAGTAATAATGACAATCATGCAAGAACAGATGAAGAAACACATGCATTCTGTCTTTTCACTCCCTCTCTGCTCTCTTCAGTCAATTCAGTAAGACAGGCTTACTTGAGCAATTCATTACAAGCGTTCATATTAATTAATGCTTTAGTTGTGACAGCTACAATAACATTAGTCGTTATAACACCAAAACCCCAGGTCAAGAGCTTTTGTAATACAGACCAAACAATGCAATCCAAAAATATATTGAATGGCTGGTTAGAATCGTTGCCTCGCAGCAAGAAGGTCGCTGGTTCGCGTCCCAGTGAGGACACCCGGGAACTTTCTGCGTGGAGATTGCATGTTCTCCCAGCGTGGGTTCTCTCTGGGTTCTCCGGCTTCCTCCCACAGTCCAAAAACATGTTGAGGTTAATTGGTGATTCTAAATTGTCCGTAGGTGTGAATGTGAGTGTGCTTGGTTGTCTGTCTCTAAGTGTAGCCCTGTGATAGACTGGCGACCTGTCCAGGGTGTCCCCTGCCTTCACCCTAAGTCAGCTGGGATAGACTCCAGCCGGTCAGTAAGCAGTATTTTTTTCAGATAATATGCATAAAACTTCATTATAACCTTTCAGAAAAGTGAAATTCAGGTGGGCGGAGGGGAAACTAGACTTTTGCACCTCCTCTTGGCTCCATTTTTTAGAAAATCTAGCCCGGGCCAAGTGGCCTTCAGCCAATCACAGGTCATTCCAACCAACTCAAGTGAGCTGGTGTAAAGGGTCCACAGTGGGAGAAGGATGTGGTGATGCAATGGGATAAATACAGGACTTTCATTCAGGACAGTGGAGTTTGAATAGTAGATTTATAATATAGTGTATTAACAGGGGTGGCTTTTATTTTCAGGTATGCCGAAGGTACCATGTGGAGACTTTTTTTGCATGATAGACATTCTTGAAAACAAAATGAAGACAAAAGTTGCCTCTTGAAAGCAACACATCTGGCAAAAAAAAACATCTTTCAATTTGCTGCAAGCACTGCTATCACAGTGAATTCTGCTCAGGCAGGTAAAGCTCAGAAAGTTGTGAAATGTTGCTGGATGATGATTTGTGACGTCACTTCATCATATTTTTGATGATACTTCGTGACAACATTTAACATCTGTTTACTTCTCTCCTACGCTTTGTGCTCACATACACTATATTTCAATACAAATTCCCAATAAAGCCGAGTATAAAATAGTGGCTGAACGCAGTCTAAAAAAAGCCCCATACACACAAACAATAGCTGTACTGAGCGCTCGGCTATATTTACATGCAAAATGATCACTCAGAGGAAAAGTCAGGAACAAAAGAAGGTCTTTCTTATTTTTCTCTCAGCCTCTGTCTGGGTCCTTGGCAACACTGTTTGCACATCCACAGCTCATTCAGGTCTGTGTCAGCTGCCGTCCAGTCGACTGAATGTGCTGCTCGCCTCTGCTGCTCCCTGAACACAGTAGATGTTCACAGAGGTGAGCTGCAGCGGGACATCCAGACTTGTGGATTAGCACTGGAGACCCCCCTCTATGGAAAGTAGCTAAAGCTTGTCTACAATGATAATACATTTGTCGCCAGGTGCTTTTGTGATGAAAAAGTTATTAAAGAGGTCTAAATACAGGAGAAAGTTGTTAAATACAACAGTGAGCTCTGCTGGTAACTATAGAGCTTTACTAGTTACTATCTGTAATTTAACAAAATAGGAAAAATCTGTAAAATAACAGTAAATTGTTGAGAAAAATGAGTTAAGATCCCTCCTCTGGTGTGTTTGGATTCCACTTCTTTTCCCATTTTTTGACTCAGAATTGTCTAAGTGTTGATTTTAGCCAAAATAAATGAATCTTACATTATGAATCTGACAAATAGTTGATATAAATGTCAAAACTTATTGTAATGAATAAATAAGCTCAGGCCTGCACTGGGGTTCTGTCGCCCTTTGGCCAGTCTAAACACAACCAGTCCTACAGTTTGACAAAGAATACATTCACTCAGTCTTAACATAACGTCAATCAGCTGTGGAGTTTGTGATTCGCTGCTCACTACACCTGCTAAATGAAACCAACATGAAAGTTACACTGCATCCCAACACTTAGACAGCATGACCCCTGAACAAACTCGCCTTTCTTTCTGTCCTCTGTTTCTGTTTATCCCTCCGTCCACACTGCCGGCAAACAAGCTGTCATTGTCTTGCAACTGTACCACACACACACACACACACACACACACACACACACTCTGTGGCCAGCAGCCAGGATGAGGACATACAGTAGAGTGTTAGCAGGCCTTCAGCAGAACTGTAGGCCATTGTTTCAGGAGAAGGACACAGTACAGTGGACACCTCACACAACATCCACCTCACTCTGGGTTTCTACCTCTTCAACAGTCTCATTTTCACTTTCCCTCTATTACTTTATTCCAAATATAATTTACTCTTAGTTATCGTGTCTGGTTTTGCCTCCCGTTTCTCTAAACTGAATTCTCATCAATGTAAATGGTCACTTATACTTTGGCTTATAATCACAGTCTCTCTCCCTCACAGCCACCCACAAAGGATGCACTCAATAATTCCATCATCCCAATGTAAAAAAAGATCCAATCCCAAATAGGAGCTTCCTAACCTCCGTTACCCTCTTAGCGCATTATTCTGCAATATTTATCGCTCCATTGAAGACGTTTCATAAGCCAGAACACTCAGTGGCCTGGAGTAGAGGTTCTTTGTTTTTTTCACCCATTCTGCTCGTCATCACCAACAACAGACGCTTTTGTTTAATTACTGATGTATATTTTTATGTAACCTGCATAGTTATATAGTGCAATGATCAAAGATTGCATTAGCAATTGTGTCCGTATGGAAGCTTCTTGTTGTTACTAAATTAAAACTGCACTAATCAATGTTTTTGCATTAACAGTGTATAAATCTGTTATGCAAAATGTGACAGGATTCACTCGCAGTAATAAACCCACTGTCAATTCTCACCTTATTGTGCATTTCTGCTTCGCTCAAAGCGACTTTTTAAGCCATTTTAAAACTTTGCTTTGGTTTTCAGGCCTGTACCAGCAGCAAGCAGCTGTTTTTAGTGAACAGTTCTGATAAACCCATCATATGTGACTGGGTCAGCACCATAGGGTGGACAGTGTATGACCAGCTCATGGACACAGTGCAGCATTTTGTTGCTAGAATCAAATATTTGAATCAGAGCAAGAAAGAAGAATTTGACTTCTATTTGTGTGGGGACAACGCATAACAAACTGTCAGAATGGACCACATCTCGTGGTTGTGTAAACAGGAAACAATTTGGTTACACTTTGACTAAAAACAAGGAAATGTTTTTTTGTACAGTTTGTTCTGATGCCTCCCAAAAACCTGTTGATGCAGCTTTAACCCCTCTCTCTGCAGCACCTGCTTATTTTAGAACCCTCTATTAATTGCTTAATGACTTCTCATGTAAACAGCACAGAACCAGGGTTAATGGCTTAAATGGAACACGTTTAGTAAAAAAAAACAAAAAAACAATGCTTTTAACGGCCATTAATGTAGACATGGTACACTGAGTTGTAATCTAAATAAAAGGCAGGATTTTTATTAATTATAAAGCAGCTGTACTTTTAGTTTCACATATTTGTAGCTCATATGATGCTGTTATTGTGAGAACAAGAGTGGAATGATATAGAGCTTTGTTTAGTTAATGAGCAGCTTGTTTTAAAACTTACTCCAAAATAACTAGATGCAGAACACGCAGCTGAAACGGGTAAACTACATATGACTTAAGTTTAAACAGCAGTGCAATCATGGAAGTGAATTTACTTCATTAAAAACTGCAAAATCACAACGTAAAAACACTACATTACATTCCACCATAAATAAGAAAGTCCTGCTTTCCAAATTTCAAATTAAAAGCACAAAAGTATTGGCATCAAAATTGTCAAAAGTAAAAATACTCATTGTGCAAAGTGACCAACTGTCAGTGTTTTATGATTATATTATGGGATCAGTAGTGCTTTATGTGATATATTGGCATTGCAACTGGTCAGGGTGGAGCTAATTTTAACTGCATTATAGACTTTTTGGTAGTTTAATCTATCATAATGTATCATATCAAAATGTTATTTCTAAAGTTAGTAGTAACTGAAACTGTGGAAAAGATACAGTCAAAACTATGATCTTATTGCAATGTTGAAATATAGTGAAGCATAAGTACAAAGTAGCATGAAGCAGAAACTGTAAAGTGAGTATAAATACCTGAAAAAACAAAGTGAAGTGTAACACTTAAGTAAATGCATTTGTTGGGTCAACATTAGTTCAGTCCAATGGAATGACTAAACTCAGTTGGTTTGCTCAGTGAATAATATCAGTGTTTCCCAGAAGCATTATGATGTAACTGGTGGTAAGTAAAAAACTGTATCTGTGCGCATGTGGAAAAGACGGGAAGAAAAATATAAATGATGATGATGATGATGATGATGGTGATGAGGGGTAGTTGGGTGAGGCAGCTGTTCTGTTCTGAGGGATTAAAGCCTATCTTTGCACCCACAATCCTCTGCTCCAGCATCCGCCACCTCTCCCTCCGTGAACCCAACCGTCTGCTACGTAATCATCTCATCCTCCCAAAACACTGACGGTTCTCACGCAATCACACACACACAAAGGCCAGCGACTGGCAGGAATTCAAACACTTTACTGTACCATCATGATACAAGGGAGATTTGGTGGATTTTGTGTGTGTGTGTGTGTGTGTGTGTGTGTGTGTGTGTGTGAGAGAGAGTGTGGACATAGACCATCAGTTAAATTAAGCAC